GGCCGCCCGAGGCGCCTGCTTCCCGGCATGCCACCCGAAAGCGAGCAGCCAGCGAGACCTCCTGCATGTCAGAGAACTCCTGGGGCATGTGGTAATGCCGCCGCAAAGCGCGAAGATCGGCAGGAAGTATCCCCAGTTGGCCGGGCCAGGCACTAATAAACGAAAGGCCGCTGCTTCAGTATGTTCCCACTCCTCCGGGAGAACCTCGAGCTGCAGGACGAGCGCCAGGAGCGAGGCCACGTACACGTTGTACGCTACAGTCGTGAAGTGCAGGCCGAGCCCGAGCTGCGCCCAGAGGTCTGCGCGGCGCGTGTACTGGCCCAGTGCCTTGCGCCAAACCCTCGCCCGCCCGCCGGGCCCCAGCACGAATCCGAGGTACTCCGCCCAGTCCCGGACGCAGGCGACGCCCCAACCAGGAAAATGCTCTTCTAGAGTGCGCCGGAAATCCTCCACCGCGGCGCTAGTGGGTTGCGCTGGGAGGTAGCGCTGGGGGTTGTGAGGCTGTGCGGGGGGTTGTGCTGGGGAGAATGTGCTGGTAGATCGTTTCGGGAGAGCTGGGGGATTCTGCTGGGGGAATGGTGCCGGGCAGGGTTGTGCTCGGGGCTTGGGGATTATGCTGGGGAGGGTTGTGCTGGGGGTGGTGGTGCTGAGATTGTGCAAGAAATTGGGCTGGAGGGTTGTGCTAGGGACTTGTGCTGACGGGTTGTACTATGCTGGTGGAAGATTGTGCAAGAAGACTGTGCTGAGAGATTATCAGGGGAGTTGCTGAAACAAAAATGGAATGTTTTGCTGGAGGGCTGTGCTGGGGGAGCGTCGTGTTTGTTGCATGACAAACAACGCTGGATTCTAGATGTGCTCGCCCTTTTCAACAAAATCTACATTTGAAGGAAGCCGCCGTGGGCTGCTCATGTTGCCCTTCTGGAACGTGGCGGCATCATATTACTGAAGAAATCCATTTCAAATAATTGAAATTCTCAAGAATTACACTCGGCAGTACTACTCTAAAAAGAAAAATCGAAGCCACGAAATGATTTCCACTTAGAATGTTGAACTAAACGGTTCTGAAAACAGCATTTCCCTGAGAAAAAGAATGTTCAGAAACTCTCTCTGCACGCTCAATTCAATATGATGTTATTTTCCATTCGAAGACTTACTTCTTCTGCTTCTCATCTTGTCGTTCCGGAACGCAGCGGCAGGAACACATTAAATGAAGAATTTTTAATGATCGGAATTCTCAGAAATGGAACCCGCAAGCAATATTCTGACAAATGAAAAATTGAATTTCGAAAGCCAGCAATATATAAAACGCGAAATGAAACGCAAGAAATCCCAAACATAATCAGCATCACATTTCTTCCCTCAATCATTTATCCTGCCACCTACAACGGTACCTCGAACAAGAATTATTCTGTGAAGTATCGAAACATGAACTGCATTCCTTACGCCCGCTCGACCACCGCGCAACCAACCGCAGGACCACCTGCTCGACCGCCCAGCATGACCACCAGCACGAGTACCCAACAGGAGGCAGAGGGTTGTGCTGAGGGGTCATGCTGAGGGGTTGTGCAGGGGGGTTGCGCTGTTGGGTTGTGCTGGAGGGTCGTGCTGGGGGTTGTGCTGAGAGGTGGTGCTCGGGGTTGTGAAGCTGCGTGGGGGGTTGTGCTGGGTGTCTGTGCTGTTTGGTTGTGCTGGAGGGTCGTGTTGGGAGTTGTGATGGGAGGTAGTGCTGGGGGTTGTGAGGCTGTGTAGGGAGGTTGTGCTGTTGGGTTGTGCTGTTGGGTTGCGAGCCAACCGACCGTGGAGCTGGTTCACGACGCGGTCGAGCTGATCCCGGCGAAGTGGTTCGACGACGCTAACAGCCTGGTCAGCCACCTCTTGGCGGACGCTGGGCAGGTCGCCGATCGCCGAGTCCGCGAGGTCATAGCTGCGCTACGTGAGATATTGAATTAAGATGGCGTCGACCTGGTGCGGTGCGACGCGAGTGCGCAGCTGGCCGCCGCGCTGATTAAGCTCGATGCCGAGAGGAGCTACCTCGCGATTGCGATGAAGATAGGTTTCATGATGCTGCAGGTTTCTAACGAGGCGGCCGCGACCAAGGAGGCCATCCGTGCCGCGCGGCGTCGCCGTGCAGATGAGCGCGGGAGTCAGGCCAGTGCCCGAACAAATGACTAACAATTTCTGCTTTAGTGAAGATTTCCTCGTTACCACATTTCGGTGACAGAGAGGGCGGGCGTTGAAATCTTAAGGGATAGGCGACGCTGTCACCGCGATTCGTTTACTGCTGCTGCCAACATCTGCACTGCCGCTGACGCTTCGACTCGAAGAGCTCTTGCGCGGGCAAACGGCTTTCATGTCCGAGCGGGCAAGCGGCCCGCCAGTTGAACCGAGGAGCCGGGCCCTCGCGGACGAGGGGGGCTGGTCTCGTCGCAACTCCCGGCTCGCAGCCGGCCTCGCACCGGCCCGGAGGCCATCCGCGGCAGTCTGCCCGCGCATGGTGTTCCACTCCGACCGCCGACAACCACCCCGTCGGGGGGGGCCCTCGCGCATGCGCACATCTCCTCGTGCTCTGTAGCGCCGATCCACTTCCGCCGCGGCGTCGAAAACGCAAGCCAGCGCCATCGCTGAGGCGGCAGAGCGCACTGGTGGAAGCACACCGAGATGTTGCCCCCCGAGAAGGAGGCCGCCTCGCCGTCCATCAGCACGGCCTGGGCGCACTCGCCGGGCAGGGAAGCTGCCCGAACGCGCGAAAAGGAGGATGCGACCTCGCTCACTAACGAAGGCCGCTGACGTCGTCGCCGTCGCCAGCCCAACTGGCGGGGCACATTGTTTCCAGAGCCGACTTCAGATTGCAGTCCCAGCTCGAGACGCCCGCGGCACCGTTGCACACGTGGATCCAGCCCTGGCACCCAACCCATTCGGAGCACTCCTCCGCGCGCAGGGACCACTGGCCGTTGTAGCCGCCAGAAGTGACGTGGCGCTGGCCCTGGGTGGAGCCGCTGTCCTTGTTTTTTTTTTTCCCCGTGCAACCGCCCTGGGGGCACACGTCGCAGTCCTCCAACTGCCCCCCCCCGGAGCTGCGGCTCGGCATTGCGGAGGCCGCTGGTGTCGTCGCCACTGCTTTTCCACCGGGTGTAGTCCGTGCTCTCCAGGTTCGACTTCAGCCGGCATTGGGAACTCGAAGCGCTGGGGGTACCGTCGCACACGTGTGTCCAGCCTTGGCAAGTGGCGTCTTCGGATCACTGCTCCGCGCACAGGGACCACTGGCCGCTGTAGCCGCCAACAATGACGTGGCGCTGGCCCTGGGTGGAGCCGATGTCCCTGTGGTTGTACCCCGTGAAGCAGTCCTGGGGGCGCACGTCGTAGTCCTCCAAGTGCCCCTGGAGCTGCTGCTTGGCCAAAATGGGCGGGTTGCGCCAACTGCCAACGACCTGGCACTGGTCCTGCTCCAGGACGAGAAGAATCTATTGACGCACCGTGCTATTAATACGTTCCCGGAATATTGGGACTTCTAATAGCCTTCGCGCGGGGTACACTTTGCGTCGAGTATTGTCTACTCTGGCTAGCGCCGCTGGTCGGTCACCCATTCGCAATCGAGTGGTCGCCCGTAGGGGCCTATTTTGCACTTAGTCCCCCTTTTCGTTGCCGAGCGCGGGGGGGGGGGAAGGTGGCGCATTGTCCCATCGCCCGCCGCCGCGCACCGCGCGCCTCGGCGGATTTCCAAAAACCTGGCAAGGCAAATGACGCGCGACTCTGGTATTTTCTCCGGGGGTAAATTTGGAAAAAAGGAACGTTTTCGAATATGTCCGGCCTACCTTTTTCATAAATGCCAGAATCGGTTTTGAAAAATGATGGGGTCGATTATGAAAAATTCTGGAATCCATTTTGAAAAATCCCGGGTCTCAGAATTCTTCAGATGTCCTGCGCGGCGACGCACTCTACCCTTCTAAACTGTTCTTCTTTTGAAAATTGCCAGGTTCATTTTTGAAAAATTCCGGAACCACTTGCGCCGGAAAAGCGAAAGCGTTTTCTGAAACATTCGACAATCCAGCAATAATTTCCGGGCGGTCCGACGGGCACGGCCTGCTGATTCACGCACCGCGCCGCGCGCGATTGGGCGCAGCGCGCGCCGCGCGTTGCGCCCGCGAACAGCAGTCGAAGGGGCCACCTCGAAAACAGCGCCACGGCAGCTGCGACTCGTGGACTCCCCAAGAGCAGCACAGCATGCAGCCTGGAATGTCCGAAAGCGCTCCGATGCGCGAAAAATGCACCGCGTACATCTGGCAAATAACTTACGCGACGCAATGCGCTCGACCATTCGTCCCTGGAGCCCACGCGGAAGAACAGGAAAGCCAGGAAATCTTGAAAACTATCAATATCAATACTTCATGTTCCTCTGGTGCTCGCCAGTCTCGAAGGGCGTGCCGTCGCTCGAGGGGCAGTTCGTGCCAGGCAAGTACTTGCGATTCCCCCATTCGGTGCCGTACTGTCCGCACTGGGCGGCGCCCAGGTTCTGTGGCCACCAGCAGCAAAACGCTTCTGCGCTGCAGTCACTCGCCCCGCGTGGCTGCAGGAATTCGTCGGCTGTGGCCGGGGCGACGGCCAACATGCACAGGGCGGATCGGAATGCACTTCGCTGTCAGCCACTGCAATGCTGGGCGGTGCTTCAGCCAATCCTTTGGCTCAGGATTCCGCCCAGGATCGAGCGGGATTGATCCAGATTGGGCCAGCTCTTGAGCCTGGTTGGGCCGTCGGGATGCAACAGATTTCGTAACCCACCCCCTGTCTCAAACACACCTTCCTTTCTAGGGTGCCAACAAATGACGTACGCGCCCAGCCACGTACATGAATACAGCCCCCCCAGTCCGCGAGGCCACCCTCGTCTTACTCTCGAAACCCACACAAATTCATGTACACGTACTCACATTTTCGCTCCCAACGTTCTGCCCGAGAGGAATGGACCGAGCCCCACCGCCCCTGCCGTTGCGGGCCGTCCCAAGCTCCAGGCCCGGCCCTGGGTCTGGAGCGACGTCCTGGTACCGCCTCAGGATGTGTGACTCCTCGTTGTTAACGTCGCACGGGCGTCCTCCAGTCTGGCCTCCTCGGGGGGGGAGGGGGGGAGGAGAACGAGGATAGCGTTTTTAATGCGTCTTTGAAACTATTTGGACCTCTGGTGGCGTCCAAAAGCCTCTGGCGACCTCGATCAGGCCTCCGTTGACCTCCAGAAACCTCCCTGCTTCACCTCCTCATCCTCCTCCTCCTCCTCTTCCTCCTCCTCCTCCTCCACTCCTCGGGATCCCGTCCTGTCCCCGCCCTTCTCGCTCGTCCTTCTCGCTCCTCTTCCTCCTAGTTCTCCTCCTCCTCCTCCTCCTCTTCCTCCTTCTCTTCCTCCTCCTCCTCCTCCTCATCATCCAGTCATGCTCCTCCCTCCTCCCGCCTCTTCTCCCGCCTCCTCCTCCTCCTCCTTCTCCTCCTCCTCCTCCGCCTTCTCAAAAAAAAGTAGGGAGGGGTATTATCGGGTGGTGGTCGGAATTTCTGGGGGAGGGGGATCGTCTGACGGTCTTTAATTGCCTGGACAGCGTGTCTGGTTTTCCTGAGCATCAGATATTTCAACGCTTTCCCTGTTGAGATCTTGGAGGCTTTGGGAGTGTCCTATGAAATGTCATCCTCCTTCTCATCTTCCTCCTCCTCCTCCTCCTCCTCGTCCTCCTCCTCCTCCTCCTCCTGCTCCTTCCTCCTTCTCTTCCAGCTGCTTCTGCTTCCTCCTCGTCCTCCTCCCTTCTCCTCCCTCCTCCTCCTCATTCCTCATCGTCCCCCTCCTCCCGCCTCCTCCTTCCCACTGCTCCCTCCTCAGAGTTGGTGAACGCCTGCCCCCAAGGACGGCGAAGAGCCGTGCTCGTCGTCGTCGTCGTCGTCGTCGTCGTCGTCGTCGTCGTCGTCGCCGTCGCCGTCGTCCTCCTCCTCCTCCTCGTCCTTTCTACGTTCGACCAATCTAAGGTTACCCTGTGGCGTTTATCCTCCTCTTCCTCCTCCTCCTCCTCCTCCTCCTCCTCCTCCTCCCCCTCATGTGCAATTTCGCACGAAGGAGCGGGGTCCTGAGGAAACGGGTCCTCGACCCAGAGCTTTCCCATGGGCCAGCCTTTCGTTCCGGCTCGTGTTTGTTGACCGTCCCGGAGCGGGCCTGGAATGGGCCCCCGGCAGCCCGAGAACGACAAAACGGCCTCGAGGACCCGTCCGCTCCAGGACCCACTTCCTTCACGGCGAGTGCGGTTGGGCTCGTGTCGTGCCGACCCGGGCGTTCACTTCTGAAACCACCCGGATCGTTCAACCTTGTACAGTCGGCGGCTTTTCCATCGCAATGCAATGTCGTTCCCTCATGGCCTCAGTCCGGGCCACTGGCGGCGTTCAACCTGGAACGCCCGCGCTGGGGTCGCCGCCGCGTCGACATCACACGAACCTACAGTACGTCGAGGGCGGGCCAGGCCTTCCAAGAGCTCGTGCTCGTCCGCGGAGTCCACAGCCAGCGGGTCCCCGCACGCGGGCACAGCACCGCCGTCCCACGGCGCGCCGACTCCGGGCCCCCGCCCCGCCGGGTACACCGCCCAGCCACCCTCTGAAACTGCCGATACGTTCGGTCCTGTCTGGCGGCGCGCCATAAAGAGAGGTTGGCGACAACGATGACGATGGTTGCGTTTCGGAGGTCTTGAGGCCTTCCTGGACGTTCTCGCGGCCACGGCTAGACGCGACTTGAAAACTGATAGGAGTCTGGGGAGCCGTTTCGGGTAGATTTTGTGTTGGTCGGGGGGGGGGGGGGGCGGCCAAATAGGGGCGGCCGAGGAGTGGCGGCCCTCTACGAAGTCGGGGGGCGGGTCCTGGAAGGACCCAGAGGCTTGTGAGAAGGCAGGACGGCTTCTAAGCCCTCCGCCTTCTTAGAAGGGCCGCCGCCCTCGCAACGCCCCCTTTTTGCGTGCTGCCGACCTTTCCGGCATGCGGGCGGGCAATCCGAGAAGACCTGGCAGAGGTACCGATCCTTGTTATTCTTCGGGAGGTGATCGAGTTCACGGATCGCCACCCAGCTGGCCATCATCATCCTGGCGAGTGCGTAGCAATCCTCGTGGTGGGACTGCTGTGCTCGCAACAGTGGCGCCATCCGCCCGCAAGGCCCCTCCTTTAAGACTTCCGACGTCACGACTTCTTCAGCCCCCCACCCCTTGGGGACCCGGAGAGCTCGTCCTGATGTCCCCCTGAAGGCCCGAAGCGGGCCCCCTGAAGGCCGGCAGCGCGGAACAGCAGCCGTGCGTCCCCACCCTCCCCGAAACGTCGGGAATCTGGGTCCTCCAGCGGCCTGGGCGGCACCCCCGGCCCGGGGTACCGGGTACGGGCGCAGTCCAGCGCGGCCCGCATCCTGCCCTGGGCGGCGTGCTGGCGCGCGGGCTCTGGCAACGATGCGCGCGCCAGGCCGCTGCGGTTGGACGGAGTGCCGGCCACCTCCGAGGCCCAGCTGGCCGCCAGGCTCCGGAGCGCCGCCGCTTGGGAGCGTCGAGCGCGCGACGCGCGAGCGTAGGCGCGATAGAAGGCGTGCTCGCCTCCGAAGTCGTGGAATGGAATCCACTTGCCGGCGCCCGTGACGGAATAGCGGGACCCCAGGCCCAGCATCTCCGCGTCCAGTTTCGTGTCCGGGCCGAAGCCGTACATTGAGACCTCCTCGCAGAGCTGGAGAGCCAAGCCAAAAGCCACGCAACCCGTGGAGGGGTAGGCTGGCGTCCTCCCGCGCCGCCGGAACCTGTTTATGGCGAGGTTGCACGTGTCGCTGACGGCTGCATCGATCCAGAGTAACGGCTGCCTGTGCGCGTGGTCCCGCATACGGAGCACGCGCTTGCGCAACCAACTCATGGTCTTATTCCACTCGCCGTCGAAGAGTACCAGGGGCACGCTAACGGGCACATAATCGCAGTTGGTCATCGGCCAGCCCGACACTGGCAGCAGCCATACCAAGCCAGCGTGCTCACAGAACTCCCAAGGCAGCAGTGGCAACAAGACGACCCAGGTCACCAGCGTCGCCGCAAGCGCCCCAGAGAAGCGCCGAGCGGCAGGGCGCGGATGTGGCCACACAGCCGGCATCCGCAGCAGGCACGCCCCTGCTACTGCCACCGCTGGAGCCTGCGGCAAGCCCTGAAATACCACGGCCAGCAGCGCAGCAGTCGGAGTGGCCGCGCAGCCTAGCAGAATCGGCGGCAACACCACTTTCCCTGCAACCGCAATCGACTCGTGCCGGGTCCACAGCGCCCATACACCGAGCGCCAAGAGGGCGACACCTTGCAGGCTCAATGCGTGGCTGCCAGGCGCACCCGGTGGCCAGTGGCGACCGCCACCCAGGTCCGCTGCCGCGAAGGCAAGCCAGTGCAACGCGGCGAGGCCCACCAAGACCGCGGTAAGCCGCTGCACCGTCCACACGACGCCATCTCCAGAGGGCCGCGGCACGGCGGCACGGCCCATGCAGCTGGCGAGCCGTGCGCGCAGCAGCAATGGTAAGGTTACGGCTGCGGCAGCCTCTGCCACCAGCCGCGGCGGCCCGCCGTCGTCGCCGCCACCGAGGCCAGGCCGGGCCAGCAGGGCGAGTTCCCACAGGTGCGAGGCCGTTCCTGCGAGCAAGCAGAGAGGCGCGGTGGCGTCTAGCCACGGCCCGAGCCGCCATGGCGCCATGGCGTTGCTGGCGCAGGACGACGCAGGAAGCGCCTGGGCATCCTCCGCATCCTCCTCCTTTGCGCGGACCCGCCCAGTGCCCTGGTGCAAGCAGGCCGCGATGGCTGCAGGGGCGGCGCACGCGCCAGCCACAAGGAAACAGGCAGCAGCCGCCACATGGGCTCTCCAAGCGAGGAGGTAATCGTCCGACAGCTCCGCGCCGGGCCTCCGCTCCGCAGCCCGGACCTGGGCAGACCACAGCTCGAAGCTGAAACTCTGGGGGTCCTGGCGAATCCTGTCAGGCGACGCGCCCAGCGAGCTGCTCACAGTGGAATTGCACCGGTCGACAGCGATGGTGACGCCCATCGGCCCCTGCACGTCGAACTTCAAGCTCTTCATCGCAAAGGGTGTCTGCTCGAAACCCTTGGCCTGATCGAGTGTCAGCATCTGGCGCTGCAGCGCCAACGGCGCCCTCGCGCACGAGCTCGGCTGCTGTCGAGCTGCCGCCAGCTCCGACGGCCCATAGAGGCCCACTCCGATCGACGGCCTCGTCCACTCGTCTGCGGCCGCGGCGCCTGGGATCCGCTGCCGCAGCCGCAGCTGGCACGTGCCGCCCCCTGGCGCGAAGTGGAAGGCCCCCAGCTCCTGCCAGTCTGCCTGCTGGAGCCTCACCGTCCCGACCTGAAGGTTCGCGCCTGCGCCCCGCGCCGCCAGCGCCGCCGAGAGCGCCTGCGAGGCGCTGACCCGAGCGTGACCGCGCCGCCGCCGCACCTGCACCGCTGGCGCCATCCTGGCCGCTCGTGACAGACCGCGATGCCGTCAAGGCACTTGAGCTGAAAACAACCGAAGTACGGCCTGAAACTCATGTAGCCTCGCCGCTCCGACCTGACACTCTGTACGCTCCGAGCCAGTCGTCCTTACGTCTCCTGGATATGCTCGTGTGCAGCTCCATGCGAAGATGGCTTCGGGCCTCCGATGCCTCCCCAAAACTGAAGCAGGAGGGCACCAGGACCAGCACACACGGCCTCCAGAAGCTCCAAGAGGCCTCCAGAAGCCCTTTTACGGTCCTAGATGCTCCAAGACCACCCCCAAACGCAAAATTACAACACAGCACCGTCATGACAACGATACCTTAAGAAAACCTCCAGGATGAGAACCCCAGGACAGCTTTCAGAGGCTGTGGGGGGGCGTGAAACTCCACGGATGGTGATGGGCATGTGCTGCAACGACGACGCTACAAGAAGAGATAGCCTCCACCCCACCGCAAGCAAGGTCAACAAGGATGTGCTCTTCATTCTCTTCCCGCATCACGAAGCCGCCCCTGCCAGGTCGCCTGGGCCTGCCGCGACTGGGCCCTGAAGGACAAACAGGAGGACACAGGCAACACGCCGACGCCGATCCTGGCTCGGGCCGCCCTGGGCCCAGGATCGGTGTGCACGCCTTCGCTGGCGAATCCATACGCACCGACCCTGGGGACGGGTGTGCCGAAGAGGGTGCCAGGAAGAGGAGTGTTGGCACATCCTGGCCCGAGGCATGTGCGCGGACGAGAGGAGGCCAAGGTACGTTCGCCCAAAAGGAGGGGGGGAGGGACGTGACACCTGAGAGATCTCATGGCCCCCGCTATGGTAGCCACACATCTCTGGCGGCCGTTCGGGACCGCCCAGGCACCCCTGGAACGCTCTTGGCGAGTCGCAGCTGCTGGAAAGCATCCCAAGGCTGGAAAGCTGCCGTGAACAGAAAAACAACGCCCGAACCCCGCTCTTACGCCCACCTCGAATATGAAGCCGTGCCTGGCAACGACCGGTGCAAAAAGGCAGAACCCTTGCGGCCAGCTCGGCGACTGGCTCCGACGGCTCGGCCCGTGATCCAGCTGCCCGTGGCCTCGCCCCCCCGCGGCTGGCCCCACCTGTGGCCGGGCGCCCTCGGGCAGGTCGTGCTCGAAGAAGTCGTTCACGACGGTGTTGCCGAGCCCCGAGACGGTGTCGACCTCGCGAGGAAGGCAGGATCAGCCAGCGTCGGATCGCTGAGTCGGACCAGGTCGGAACGAAAATCGGATTGGGCTGCATCTGCCCCGGAGCCGGAATCGAATCGGATCGGCTGCCGCCTGGATGCGCAGCAGCGCCATGCAAACATCTGGCCGCATCGGATCGTCGGAATATCGGATTCGAATCGGATCGGGCCGGCTGGAATTGGTATCGAATCGGATCCATCGGCTGGAAATGGACCCTGGGAGGGAAGCCGGTGCAAGCGCGCCGTGGGATACTGCTGCTCCAGCGCTGCCGCCTCCTGCTGCTCTAGCGCTCCAGCGCTGCCGCCGATAGGAAAGTCAAAATTGGGCCGCTCCTGGCCCAGGCATGTCCGCGCCTCGCGCTGTGGGAAGCGCATCGCGCGGATACTGTAGGCGGGTGCCCCTCAGGCCGACGTCACCCAGACTTCATGCGGATTGCTGTTTCAATCCGCGGGCCACTGAAGTCTCGGCCCTGTCCCCGCGGCCAGTTTTGCGCCCCAGAACCAGATTCGACGGCACTAGCATTCAGAGATGCCCCCCCCCCCCCGGAGCCAAACTGAAGGGAAACAAAACACGACCCAATCAAAACCAGTCCACGTCCGGTCCCCCCACTTGGGACCCTTCAGGTGAATTTTGGAGCTGCGTCCAGCCGCGGTGACGAGAGGGGCTCTGGAACGATCGACTCCTGCTGTCGCTAGTCGAAAGCCGACGCCCCGTGCGGATGGCAGGCGCACCGTCGCGGGCGTGGGGGCCCTGGGTACGACCCATGGGTAAAAACCCTGGCACGTCTCACGCACATCAAACATTCTCGTTCGCTTGCGTCCCTGACGTCATGATTCGTAGCGTGACGGCCCCCCGGCCCAAACAAAACCAATCAAGGGGGGACGAATGACAACGAGGAGTGAAACAGGTTGGCATTTAGACAGAACAGCGCAACGAAACCGAACGTTTTAAACGAACGATTATAACGAAACCGGTGCCGGTGCTAAACGAAAACGAGAAACGAAACGAGGCCGCCATTCAGCGAGAACACAAAAAACGAAACGAACGTTGCAGACAATGCTGACAGCAAAACGACAAACAAAACGAGGGCATGGAACGATGGTTGGGGCCAGGGAAGCAATGGCTGGGGGTTGGGGCAAGGGCAAATGCGATGGGTGAGGTTCTGGCTGGGGCTTGAACTAGACAAAACGCCAAAGCAAAACAAACAAACAACAGGCATCAGCGTGGAATGAGGACTCCTCGCTGCAATGTCCGGGCGGAAAACCGCGGGCAACTCCTCCTCCTCCTCCTCCTCTTCCTCCTCCTCGTCCTCCTGGTCCTCCTCCTCCTCCTCCTCCTCCTCCTCCTCCTCCTCCTCCTCCTCCTCCTCCTGGTCCTCCTCATCGGCCTCCTCCTCCTTATCCTCCAGGCCGTCCATCTTCCTATGGTACCACTGGATTTCCTCCTCCAACGGCACTTGCGCCTGAAACACACTGAAAAACGAGAGCCCCTGCGTTCGTCTCCTCATCGTCATCGTCGTCCTCCTGGCTGTCCTGCCCGTCCTCCTCTTCCCGTTTACTATTTTCCTCCTTTTCCTCTCCCTTTTCTTCTTCCTCCTCTTCTTCCTCCTTCTGGAATAAGACAGATATTAGGTCCTAGCTTGTTGCGCTTGATAAGTGCAGCCCGAACAAAACCGAATAGTGAACAACTCGGGTCAAGGAGGTTCCTGGCGGGCGCCGCGGGAAATTCACCGGCCCACCGAGCCAAAGGCGTGCCAAGATCTCTGGTAACTGGTCAACAACACACTATATTTCGCGCGCGGGGCGGACGGCTCCCGGACGAAAAGTACCCCGAGCGGGTCCCGGCCAGTGCGGTTCAGAGATGGTTTTCCTCCTCGGCGCTGCCTTCCAGGCCTCCCAGGGCGCTCCAGGCGCGCCAACAAAAATGTTTTGAGACACTCCCGAAACCGTCCAAAGGGCCCCAAATGGCCGAAAGATTGCTCCAAGACGCCCATGCTGGTCCCCAGACGGCCCTCGACGCCGCCGAGAAGCTCCAAGAGAGCCTCAAAAGGCCCTCCTAGACGGCCCCAACAAGCAACAACCGCATCATTTCCAAAGGGAAAACGTGCATTTCTGACATAGACGACGCTCGGAGGTTCACAGCGTCCAAGACTGCCCAGGAGCCCCCCAAGATCGCTCCAAGATGGCCCAACATGCCCCCAAGATGGGCCCTGGAGGGCCCAAGAGGGCTCCAAGACGAGACTGCCTTCCAGGCCTCCCAGAGCGCTCCAAGAACGCGCCAAGAAAGCCCCGAGACGCCCCCGAGACGGTCCAAGGGGCCCCAAATCGCCGAAAGCTTGCCCCAACGCGCTCATGCTGGTCCCCAGACGGCCCTCGACGCCGCCGAGAATGCCCAAGAGAGCTTCAAGAAGCCCTCCAAGAGGGCCCCAAGAAGCAACAATCGCCCCATTGCCTTCGGAACGCGTGCGGCATAGAAGACGCTCGGAGGTTCACAGCGTCCAAGACTGCCCAAGAGCCTTCCAAGATCGCCGCTAAGATGGCCCACCATGCCCCCAAGATGCGCCCAAGAGGGCTCCGAGACGACCCAAGAGGGCTGCCTTCCAGGCCTCCCAGAGCGCTCGAGGAATGTGCCACGAAGGCTCCGAGACGCTCCCGAGACGGCCCAAGGGGCCCCGAGCCGCCGAAAGATTACGCCCAGACGCCCATGCTGGTCTCCAGGCGGCCCCAGACGCCGCCGAGAAGCCCCAAGAGAGCCTCAAGACGCCCTCCAAGAGGGTCCCAGCAAGCAACAACCGTCCCATTTCCGACGGAAGACGTGCATTTCTGGCATAGACGACGCTCGGAGGTTCACAGCGTCCAAGACTGCCCAGGAGCCTGCCAAGATCGCCCCAAGATGGCCCAACGTGCCCCCAAGATGCGCCCAGGAGGGCCCAAGAGGGCTCCAAGACGACCCAAGAGGGCTGCCTTCCAGGCCTCCCAGAACGCTCGAGGAACGCGCCACGAAGGCTCCGAGACGCTCCCGAGACGGTCCAAGGGGCCCCGAGCCGCCGAACTATTACTCCAAGACGCCCATGCTGGTCTCCAGACGGCCCTCGACGCCGCCAGGAAGCTCCAAGATAGCCTCAAGACGCCCTCCAAGAGAGCCCCGACAAGCAACGAGCGTCTCATTTCGAAGGGAAAACATGAACTTCTGGCATAGACGACGCTCGGAGGTTCACAGCGTCCAATTCCCGTTCATTCGCAGCTGCCTCATGAAGTCACGATTATCCTTCCAGGTCTTCTTGCGCTCGTCCGCCAAAGTCGCCAGCACCTGTAACAACTCGTACTCGTCGATGCTTGCCTCGGCGATCGGCTCTAGCAAGTTCTCCTGCTCCGACGTCATGGAGGACGCGTCGCTGTATTCGCACGTCTCGTCCTCGCCGTCGTCGAAGGCAGGGAAGCTTGCCGCCTTTGCCTTTTCCTGTCCTCACGCCGAGGCGCCCCGTGCGACACACGCGCATCTCCCTGGCTGCCGAGATCACCTCTTCGTACTGATTGGAGCCGCGATTCATGACCTTGAGCATCTGCATGCCGTTCTCGTCCCCCCCAGTACCTTCTTCTAGCAAGAGAATCTTCCAACAATCGTCTAGCTCGAGCCCCTGCTTCTTCAACCTCTCGAATTTCTGATCTAACCGGGCCGTATAGATGGACAAATTCTCCTCCGCTTCAAGCGGTACCCCATTAGACATTATCATATTGCTCTTCTCTTCTCGTCATCGACGCGCTGGCCGCGCATCACGTCCAATCTCCGAATGATGGTCATCGGGCCGTCCCTCTATTGCAGCACCTCGTCTGATATGTCCTCGAAATTGCGTTGCGTGCCCCGGTCGAGGGTATTGAAAAGTTGTCCGCTCTCTTCTTGGGCCGCACGTCCGCCAGTCCCAACCATCTGATACCTCGTCGCTTCCATAGTCTGTAGTCGGACCATCCCATGAACAACCCGGGGTCCGTGTAGTCTCCTTTCTCCCACCTGTTGTTGCTACCCCAACTGTCGTCGTGCCAGTCCGTCTTCTTCTTCCAGTCCTGCTGATGTTTTGCCCAGTCGTCCCAGTCGCCCCACTTCGTCTGGGACCAGTCCCGCTTCCCTTAGTAGCCCTGACACTCTGACCGGTTGCTGTTCCACGGGTCGTTCTTGTCCCATGGATTGTCCTTTATCGCGAGCCGTCCGGACAGCAGCCTCTCGTTCCCTGCTCGCGTCGTTCTTCTCCATACTGTCCTTGTCCAAGTACTTATGGAGCAACCTGTCGGGCTGCTCCAGCTGTCGTTTCATAATATGATTCAACTCTGTTCTCTGGCCACTTGTGAACTCTGAGTCCGCCGTGCCCTCGGAAATCGCCTCCTCGCTTAGGGCTGCATGCTTGCTCCGACCCTCGCCGTCGCCATTCTTCGGATCATTCGGCATGGTGCCGCGGATCTCCACGTATGTTGCACTCCGCTGGGAGTGTCACGCTCCTGCTACCACTGACGCGCTTAGACACATCGAATGATTTCTGAGAGGATGGTGGCGATATAATATTTTCCAGAAGCACGCAAATACCTCGGGCCAAGAGGATGCCTACATATAAACACGCAACACCGAAATTCTCCATGGGAATTCACGAGCATATGAAAATGGACACAGCATGAACTCATGTACACACCCATACAAAACAACAACTATGCATACAACTGCTGTGTAACATGCTACCAAACCTACGTGCGCAACATTATGCCAAAACTGTTGTGCCAGTCTGCCAGATAGACCGTGCGGGCCACACGCGCGCGCATGCACAAATCATGGAACAATCATCGCGCACTCGCCGATCGTGTCAAACAATACCATACTGGGCACACACGCGCGTCCCCGCGCACGTATGTCGGCATCATGGGAATACCATTGTTTTCTCAGCGTTTCAAAACAGATGTGCCCGACAGCACGTGAACAACCGATGGCTCAACAAGAGGTTTCCTATATGTTCGGTCCGCGCGCTTCCTCGGCGTCCTCATCCGCACCATCGTCATATCATCATGGCCAGCACCACTGTTCCCATGGTCATCATCATAATTTCGAAGATTCACCATCATCACCGTCGTCGTCGTCGTGGTCATCACCACCGTCTTCATTACCATTGTCATTCTCGTTGCTGTTGTCGTCGCCCTCGCCATCATCGCCATCACCAGCGCCATAAGTACTATCATCGTCGTCGCCGATTTTCGTCACCATCATCTCTCGCCCACCCGAATTTTAGATCTGCATGATAAAACAGGTCATCTGGTGACTGCGCCAGCTGAAATTTGAAAACAAGTTGCGGGTGGGTGGATGGGATACGTTCTTGGGCATTGGAACTGGCGACTCTCAGTTCTTCAACAGTCCAATGCACCACATTCATACTGCACCCCTAACATGCTGAACACGCAGAGTGCAAGAAACCACCGTGTGGCCCCACGCTGACACTCATGCTAATTCAACCCATTTCCCCCTGGAGGCCTCCAGAGATCTCTGGTGGGCCCCCTCCTCCCCCCCTCTTTACCCCCAAAGGGGGAGGATACCCTGCCAAGTTCCCTCGTCCACTGTGTCGCTGCCCCTGGCTCGGATCCGCTCTTACCCCGGGCTGCTATGATCTGTTTCTGGCCTTGTGCCCGCTCTGATTTGGTACAATATCCACCCTTTTGGGGACACCCGCTATCCAAAGATTTGGTATCGATCCTGGTCAGGCTGGTCGCAGATACCCCCCCAGGCAGCATTTCCAGCCAGGATGGCGCTACAAACGTTCAACAAACTCTTTCCTCTTGCCTCTGTCCGGCTGTTGCTGAGCCTAAGCCGGGCAATAACAATATCCATAATGAACGCTGCTAGCTGTGTGGCGAAGAGTCCTGGCCGCGAACCAAGAGAACAAGTGCTGGATGAAAGCCCATGGTACAAACATAAGAGGAAAACTGATGCATGGCACACCCTGCGCTTCCGCCGCCAGACCCGCCGGCGTCCTTCGGATGTTGCCACAAATTTTCCTAGCCCGAGGTATCCCTCACGTTTCGCGACGCTCTGGCGCCCCTGGGGGCCTCCCCAGAGATCGTAGGGACACCCTGGACCAGTACCCGAAGTCCAGACAATCGACAATGTGATTTTGTCGATGCGCGTCCACAGAGGTCCCGACCGCTTCCTCGGGGGTCGTTTGTCTCCGCAGAACAGATCTACCTTGGCCCGATAACGGGCCCCAAAGGCCGACGTCGAGAAAACCACCCCGATTGATCAACTCATATCGTCGGAGATCCGTGTGTACTTCCGCCAGGTCCCGACGACCTTCCGTCGAAGGCAGACTGCGCCGAGCACGCGGCCCGTTTGGGAGCGCCCTGGTGTGCGTGCCCCTCGCCGCCGTTCGCGCCGCTGCTCCGTCCCTCGGACGTCACTAGCCAGGCCCAACCTCTCTCCCAACCTATCGGAACCCCGACGCCGTGATCTCATCACGCCGTGGACTGACCCGGAAGGTCTCGACCCTTCCCCTTCGACGGATGGAAGAAGAGGAGGGAGAGGAGGGGGGAAGAGTATGAGGAGGAAGAGGAGGATGATGAGGACCCACACCTCGGACGTGGAGATTTGATCACAGCACGTCTCGTCTCGGCCCCTTCCCCTGGCCCACTTTGGTCCATGGGGCCCCCCAGAGGTCGCTGGAAGCCAAACCTGGGCGTCAGCAGCCCCCTCGAGGCGGATCTAGCCTGGCGACGGGGAGCCACTCCGAGGCCGAACGACGGCGAGCACCGCCAAAAGCCTGGACCCTCTGACCTCAATCCCTCAGCCTATCCGCATCTGCAGCCACTGCCTCCCCGGCGGCCGACCCACTTCTGCTGCCACTTGTCCAATGTCGTGGACTTGACGACCTGCCCTCCGCCGCCAGCCGGGTGCAAGGCGCTGGGGCTCGGCGCGCTCCCTCGCGCAGGGCCCTCCTCCTCATCGTCGCGCGCCTCCTCGAGGCTCGAGGAGGAGGAGGAGGAGGTGGAAGAGAAGACGTGGGGGGCCGAGGGGTGGAGAGGGGCGCGCCAGGCGAGCGGGCCCGCATGCAACGAGGACAAGGGAGGAGGACGACGAGGAGGACCAAGAGGAGGAGGAGGAGGAGGAGGAGGAGCAGGAGGAGGACTGACTGACTGACTGATGAATCGGACCCAACGTGTCGTCACGACCTTGCAGCTACACTACCTTGCAGAGTGTACTATATCAGTCTGACATCTGGGTCTATCTGGGAAGCCCCATCACTCGCACAGGTGCGCAAGCGTCACAAAATACGCATTGGCCCTGCAGGCAGGCCACTCCCGCACTCGTTCAGGCTGGCCGCCTGCGGGCACTCGAGAGTCGAAATTGCTACACAGTGCTCTGCTGTTTACCTCCGAGCGGAGGCTTGGCCAAAATATCCCGCCAGGCGTTCGCGTGCAGCCAGCGTAGACATACACACTGGCCCTGCAGGCAGGCCACGCCCGCACTCGGTCAGGCTGGCCGCCTGCGGGCACTCGAGAGTCAAAATTGCTACACAGTGCTCTGCTGTTTACCTCCGAGCGGAGGCTTGGCCAAAATATCCCGCCAGGCGTTCGCGTGCAGTCAGCGTAGACAAAACATTTAGATTGCCTCGCTTCCGACAGATGTGCCGCCTGAGTGTAGTCTAGGCTCCGATAAGTTTCCTTTACGCCCCCTGCCCTTGCCCTTCTGCGGACGTGGTGGGTCTGGGCGAGGAGTGAGAAGGGTCGAGTCGAAGTTGGAACGGAGGATAGGAGCAGGCTGGCTGGGCTCACGTCTTGGCGGCAGTCTACCTGCTGCCACCACATCCCTACAGCGGGCGCTGTCTCTAAAAACTGGAGGGGCCGAGAGTGTCTCTCGGCTCAAAAATGCTGGCATTAGTCTAATGTACCGTCGTGGCGCTGTGTCTTCCTCATCTGGCACCAACTCGAGGATCGGTGCCTCTTCTCTCAGCTCTTCGTGTAGACTAGCTTCGTGAGGCCTCGCTGCAGCGGGCCCCTGGGTGCTCCCTCCAGCTTGCGCAGGCCCCCCTCCCTCTTGATCTCCTTGATCAGGACCTCCCGTACGGCCCGCAAGTCGGGCACGTGCAAGTCCAAGGAAAAGATCAGCCGCACTTTCTCCTTGCTCTGCTTCGGCTGCTTGTTCGTCTTCGCCTGGTAGTGTTTGACGCACGTGCCCAGCATCTCTGGGTCCTCCAGGCGCACCACCTTCTTCCAGAACTCTCCTAGGATGGCCTTGTCGTCTGGCGGGACCACCTCTGCTATGTTCTTGATCACCGCCGCGATGACGACGAGGTGCGGCGGGCCCAGCGCTGCGAGGTCGACATAGGAGTCGCTCGCGTGCTGCTCTTTCAGTTTCTGCACGTCGTCGTTGTACTGCTTGCCCGCCTGCGTCGAGATGGCCGCCATGGGCTTGTCGGCGTCGAGCTCCCAGCACTCGTAGACCACCGCCTTCATGTCCCCCGCGCCCTTGGCCACGGTGAGCGAGAGCTTGGCCGTCATGACCGCCATCTCCTCCAGGCGCTCGTAGTCCTTGTCGCGGCCGCTGCCCTTGCCCTTGGTCCTGGACTCCTTGGCCGCACGCGTCGCGTCCCTGTCCACCTGGAGCGTGCGCTTGCCCGCCCACGCTGGTGCCATCTCGAAGTCGTTGGTCGAGGCCGCCGCCGCTGCCCCAGCCGCTGGCGCCGCGTCGGGCATAGCCCTCTGGTCGGGCCTGGGTCGCAGTCGGGCGGGCGCAGGGGCCCGTCGGAGCAGCTGGCTGAAGAACTGCTCTGGGGAAATGGCTACGGAGGTGCTCGTAGAGACGTTGTTTGTCGTTATCTGCATATCCACACAGTTGGCATTTCGGGGCGAAAGGCTCGATCGGTCGCATCGTCCGAGTTCTGTCCGACGGGCAGCGTCCTGTAAGGAGCCCCCTCATCAAGTGCCGTGCCGCCGTACTACGCTCTCCGAACACAATGCCACAGTTCACACACTCGTTAGTAGGTGTGAGTAGGGACGCCACGTTGCTCAGTTTGTGTTTGTTACGCGTGTGTGACATAAGCGCCTTACGTGCACTGAAGCATGCACCACGCACAGGGAGAATCATGTTCTGTCGAGGGTCGTTGGCTGACATCACATCCTGAACGCCCCCTGCTGGATCCACTGGCCCCGCCTGCAAGTCGGCAGTCGCCGTCGTCGGCGCAGTGTCGCCACACTCGGAGGTGGTATGCGGCAGGTCCACTATCTCACATTTCCATGGAGCAATTTCCGCTAGCACCGTCTCCTCCTCTGCTACATATGCTGCTGCTGCGTTGGCTCCTGGGCTTGGGAGGCCTGGGGGTGGGATGGTACGGGCCCTGAACGCCTGTCGGAGCTCCTTGGGGTCGAGGACTCTGAGGGCCTCCTGGAGGTCTGGCTCGAAGAAATTTCCGGGCCGGATGTCTAAGTCATTTAAGTTACTTACAAACATGTCCGTGCGGCACGCCTCCTCAAGGTCCTTAATTATTCTTTGCGCCCAGGCATTACACCGTGGATGGAGCGCGCCGTCGTCGCAGACCGTCGGCTCCGGCTCCATAGCAAGTTGTCCGAAAATGGCTGTAAGTACTTGCTGGTGCGCCACGGGGTTGAGTAACATTTTTCTGATCCAAGTGAGGCGTCTGACGATTGCTTCCATTTGTAGTGGCAGGATTCGCCAGTGTCGTAAGACTTCATAACTCGTGAGACTCCGAACCGTACCGTCGGGCTGGTAGGTGGCGGCTTTGCCACGCATGGCCCTCCGAGCTAGTCCCGCAACCGTCATCGTAAGAGTCCTATACTCGGCCTTAGTCGGTAAGAAGCTCTCGATACAGCTGAGCCCAGTATTGACTACCTTACAGATCAGGACCGCCCGTTTCCACTTGAACGGTACCCCCGCTTTGTACCAGAACCCCCCCATCTCCCTGTATGCCCTCATCATAGCATGAATACGTTGTGGCAGCTCCGCTCCGTACGTGTGCGCAGTGTTGATGCGTGGTCCTAAGTGTCTAGCCGACTGCACCGTGCGTCCTGGAAGTGCATGTTGTTTCGTGCGTAACTGTCTGTGCTGTGCCGTCGTGCCCCTACCCTGCAGTCTGACGAGGTTCTCTTGTTTGTCGCGGTTCTGAGCCAGGCCGAACTGCTGAAGTCTCTCGTCGAGCATGTCATCAGCCAGTCTGGCTTGTTGGGAAAGGTCCGCTGCAGCCTGATCCGAGGTGCTGACCAATAGTTTCTGCAAATCATCCGCGTATTTGAAGAGACCTAAGTACTGTGATTGTTCGAAGAACGGGCATCGTGCAATGAGCAGGTGATCATCTGGCAGGTTCTCGGGACATGCTATTTTCCACTGCTCGACGGGGGGGGCAAACAGGGCAACAAAATTGTAAACCATGAATGGATCTCCGATGAGGCCACCACATCCTGGTCGTATCATTGTCGGCTCCTCCTGATCCCTGCATGGCACTGTGAACGCACACTGTCTGTACCTCTGCTCCCCGACCTCCCACAACTCCTGTGGTAGCAGTGTCTGTGTAGCAGCATCCATTCCCGTCCAGTGTCCACTCGCAAAGGCGTTCGTCATGTCCTTCATCACTACTGAGTAGGACGCCCCTGCCCTGGAGAGCCTGTCCTGGGTGGCCAAGCTGGCTAGTACTGCTCCCTCCCGTCTCCGTCCCTTCACAAAGCCGTAGTCCTCATCCCTCCAAGGTCGTCCTGCTCCTCTCTCTAGTTGGGCGGCGTAATAGCATTTGCCTAAGGGGTCCAGGACGTGGTAGACTCTCTTGCCTTGGGGTCCGAGCTTCCCGTTCTTTCTGACAGCTGTGGCCTCACTGATGTGCCAACTAGCTGGGGTCTTCTTTTGGACACGGATCTGTCGGAAGGCTCGTTCGAGTTGGATTCTGAAATTCCTGGGAAAGACCTTGCCCTTCTCCGTGCCCACGCCAGCTCTGTCCTGGACCTCAGGAGGTCTAGTGAGCAACATGCGCCACGCCTCTGCTGGGGCCGAGCCCAGGGGGTGTGCCCTACGGAGCCCCGAACGATACAACTTGCGTGCCACACTTTTCACGTCGTCCTTGGCGCCGTCTATGGCCTCGTTCAGGGCTGCAAAGTCTAGGGGGTAGGTGGTGTTCCTCGACTCCTCAAGCATCTCCTCCCTCGTAGTGGGTGCCGCCTCCATACCTCCCTGTCCTCCTGGCACTCTCCAGAACTCCTCCCACTCCTGTCTGGTCGGCATGCTCGTCCTCACACTGCGGTAGTTGCGGCGTCGTGGTCCCAACTGCGCACCCGCGAGTAACCGACTGAGACGCCCCACCTCTGCTATATCCCTGCGCCTCCATGCTTCCCACAGCTCCTCCACCCTCTCTGCTCCTATCCTCTGCTGCGCCTCTGTCCTCATCCTCGCGCACTTCTTGGTCAGGGCTTTGAGGCGGGATGCTACATTGATCATATGTTGTTCCGTGCCCTCTCCCTGGAGCTCCCGAAGGTCCCGTCGCCTGGTGAGGAGCGCCTGGCGGTCCTGCTGGAGTCGGTGATACGTGTCGTCCCGCGCAGTATCCTTACATAAGTGTTTCTCGGCCAATCTGCAGACAATCTCAGAGAGGGCCCCAATGGTGTCGTTGCTATCTCCCTGCCTCCTGATCTCGTCCAGCTCCTCCTCTCTCCTGGCTACCTCCTCCTCCACCTCCCTAACAAAGTCGGTCCTACACACATTTCGGCGCACCCCTTCTACCAGAGCCTGTCGGTTCCACCTGGGTCGTTGTCTGACTTTCGAGTAGTAGTGCCGATGATTCATGGCCACTGTGACGTGGGTGGGTATGTGATCACGGAGTCCGCGACTGCGTATGACCTGGAGTCGTCGTCCCATACGGCTGAGCGGTCCC